TTCTTGTGTGCGATGGGATTAAGAGGCAAGAATTCTGAACGCTCGGTCTCATAATGTTCTAGGGAAAGCAGAACTAACGTGGGAGAGGAGTAGGAGCAGCAGGACAAGTCTGCTGAAAGGTTTCATGAAGAAACAGGAGGAGGGCGAAAGCGAGGAGGCCACCGTCGACGTGCTTTATCCTGCTCGCTGCAATATCGGACCCAAACTGAAAGAAGTTTTCTTAGCTCGGGGAAGGAATCGTGGTTGACACTTCTCAATTGAAAATAATGCCACGTAGGGCAGAGATACGTCGTCGTTCTCCGAGGAATGTCAACGGAATTTTCGGATGATTTCCCTCATTCTCGTGACAAATCTAACGGCGATGGAGAACGAGGAAATATCCTGTTCGGAATGACATGAGCGAGTCGACGCTGATAGATCAGGATTTCCATTTTCGAAATTTATCCTTCCGACTTCGAGTCGGAGGCCTGTGCATCTCTCAACGCCTACTCCTTTCTTCAGCTTCCCTTTACTTTCATGCAAAATAGGGTGAAAAACTTTCTTGCATGAAAATAATTTTCCAGAATATCGACGGAAAATGCTTTCAGGTCCCCGCTGTGACAGTAAAATCGGCCCAAAGAAAATTGCATTGATCTTATTCACTTCAAGCAATGACATTCTAGCTTTCCCGAGGAACTTTTCGAATTCATGAGGCCGCACCCTAGATAGAATTGGCAAAAATAATGTCAAGCAAGTTAATGAATAAATAAAGTAATAATTTAGCGTTGATGTAAAAACCCATGGAAAGTCCATTTTGCGACAGGTGTCTCTTTAATCCTTTATATAGGAAACTTTGAAAACAAAAGACAGCACGTACCAGCCTTCAAGAAAAAGTTATATTAGAAACCTACAGATACTAGTAAATAGCCCTTGCAAAAGCACGGAAGCACTTAAAAGTTGTGAATGCTCACACGGCCATGGGAGGAGGTCGCCACACTCCCGCCTCCCTGTCTGGCCATGAGAGAAGACAGGACGCGTCAAATGCGCCCCTCGTTTCTCGGTCTGCCCCTGCGCTTCGTTAATCGTCATTGCGAAGGACGGGGAACTGGCGCCGAGCGAAGGCAAAGGACAACCCAAAGATCCAGGCATTACCTTAAATCGTCGCCTTGTTGCACGATATGAGCTTTTCTCGGCGGCCTCACGCTACTCGCGTTTCCGAACGTTAATGGCCTCATGCCTCGCTGCGCGTACCCGTTACTTTCGCTGTGAGAGAGCCACTGAGCTAAGAAATAACTGGAGATGGCGCACTCATATGAACAGTATCGGCATGCGTGCGATACTGGTAGAGCATGTCCACAGTTTTTTTCTCCGTTGTCAGTTCTCTTCTGTTTCCTAGGGCCGGCATTCCCTACTCGAAATGCTCGATTCTAGGTTAATTGTTCGAAAATCAATTTTTCGAAATCAATTGTTCGAATTCAATTTTTCGAAAAACCAGTTTTTCGACTTACACATTTTTCGAACAACAACATTTCGAAATCATTCCACACGAAATCTTTTTTGCCGGATCATTAGTATCCAATGTTGTGTGCAACTGCGCGCAAGTAGTCATAAGTGTTTACATTTTTTGATCCCAACCGCCAACAACCCCCTTCAACCTTTCTGCACTGTCCCGATATTTCTTCCGCTGACGAGGTGGTTCCTGGCCACTGGTGTACTATGCGCATCTCATTCAGGCTCTGCTCCTTCTTGATTCCAGAAATAAACTTCCAGATACTTGCAGAGATCTGTTGCTGGAATCCTCGATGCCATCCGTCGATGTTGTTATTAGTTTTGGGCAAACCCTGAAGCACGCCATCGTAGCAGTTCCACATTCGATGTGCAAAAATTGGAGAACGGCGACCCTGACGACGGCCTGGACGCCCAATCCATGTGTCCTCGAAGTAATCTGTAATTGGCTAAAACATGGTAAAACATGGCGGTCGCACGGAGCATCGAATGTGTCAACGGCTTCTGTAGTTGGAACAAAAGCCAGAGAGGGAAGCATGCGAAGCTTTGGAGCAAAATCTGCATCATTCTCGTACCGTTCCTTCAAGCCGTTTGTTTGTATTTTCCGCCAAAAATACACTGGCAAAAATTGGGGAAAAAAAAGTCAGTCATAATAGTCCGAGGATCGACAGCGGGCTCTAACTCCTTCACCTTTCTCAACAGACGGACGTACGTTTCTTTCCTCTTGTCTCCCAGAAGTGCATGCACCAGAGGCACGGAGTTGTTGGCTTCCATTCCATGAATACAGCTGCTCAAATAGTGGCGATCTTGAAAGTGCCATCGGCATGTCGATGCTCCAAGAAGCTGCAAGTTCCTCTGAGTAGAAAATATGAGGATGCGGCCGTCTTGAGGTCCAGAGTCGTATGGCAGGAACTCTTCTCCTCTTTCAGCTTGCTTGGACTCCGCGGGAAAAAACACAGCATCACGACGGAAAATCGGGACAGCTGGTCCGGCATTTTCTTTCACCCGCACGCTATTTAGTTTTGCTGCAGCACCTTGACTGGCTCCAATCGGAAGACACAATATAGGTTTTGGCGTGTCACGAGTGTTTCTTGCCGTATCGCGGCTGTCATTAACTTCTCTGCTTCCACGTGAGCAGCATATCCTGCATGATTATGCTCACTCCTCACTTACTCACTCCTCTTGCTCAAAACACCGTTGGCTCCCGTTATAACTCGCGCTCCGCATTTTATACCGCGAAGGGTTGAGAGAATCCGTTGAAAATCCCAGTAAAAAATGTTTCATTGGACCATCACTGGCATGTGGTCGGGCGGGTCCTGTTGGCCCCAGAGGCGAATACAAAAATTTTCCATAGGGGGAGGGTTCCGTACTTCCTACTCTCAGCTCTATCGCCTTTTTCATTTTTCGTCTGGGGTAAAAACTTGAATTTCTTTTTTGCTGGTTCCAATAAAAATTAATATGGAAGCTATTTTTAAAAAAAAGGAGAAAATAGAATGGCAACCTGGTCATAAGGGGGGCGACCGCCCCCCCGATGTTGAGGCTGGCGCAGCCGATTCTCGAAATCTTCCGGATTCTGCCCGAATTTGGCGACTGTGCCAAAAAGGCAGTGAATTGGCACGAAGGAAATTATTTAGGCGGCGGAAATATGAAATTGCTTTCTCGCCAAGTCAAGTTCGGCATTTATTTTTAAATGAAAAAAAAAATCGAGAACGAAACCGGCCATACCGATCCGACGACTTCTCTCATTTGCGAGTCGCAGGATGCCGCGACGCGTCTCCGACCGCCTCCCGGGAACCATTAACCGGGGGGGAAGGGGGAGAGCCGCGAGGACGTGCTCCAAAGTGATTCGCTGGCAGGGATGGGAGCCCTGCCTCGTTCGTAGACTCTGTCGACACCCGCTCAAATAAAATATCTGGTAATTTTCACCCAACAAATAATTTGAAACAACTTATATCTTAGGAGGTATTGATACTATGTAAATTAAAGTTATCATTTAAGCGTGAAAAGAAGGAAAATGTTTTGGAGAAGAAATTGAAGTTCGGGCATCACTGCGTCAGTGCTGTCAGGGAGCATGGCGTCCCGCTGAGTCACCATTAATATCTCCCGGTGTGTACATGTGGCGCGGGGTGATGGTCTTTAAAATTTGAGTGTTTCAGCCTGGTGTATTGTTGCAATTAGGCCTGTGGTTTTAAATCGGTTTTGGGAGCAATGCACTTTATGGATTGGTTACGGAGAACTTTAGGCGGAAAGTTAGGCCTTAGGCCTTGCAGCTCTGAAAGAGATTCCCAGGGAAATGTGGTTTAGTTCCTATAATTGAGTCTGTTGTTGGCGTTTGACTTGAGTGTAGATGTTGGGAGATGGGTGTAGGTCGATGAAGTGTTAAATTTTGGTTGCAGGAATGATGGCGTCGGCGGGGTCAGCCCAGAACGTGGGAAAGGGTTCCTTCAAGCCTGACTCGGACGTTCACATCACGTACGAGGATCAGGAGAAGATCAACCGGTTTGCCCGTCATAACGCGAGACTGGAGGAGTTGAAGGAGGAGTTGAAGGGCAAGGAGACAGACCTGAGGTAAACCGTCAATTCAGTTCATGAAAGAAATTTCTGAGTGCCACCTGTGCCTTAAAGCCTGACAATCAAAAGCATGCAACTAATTTGGTATATAAATATAAATATATATATATATATATAGTGAAAAGGAAATACCAAAGGTGTAATAATCGCTTAAGGTAATCGCTTAATAAGCCGTTCTTTATTAAACTAGGACTCAACATTATATTTATATATATATATATATATTCAAAACCCCATCCTCACGAGTTCCTAATCCACGACAGGAACATCGGTGACGCTGAGGAGGAGCTGATCCTCGTCGACAGCTCCGGCGAGGACATCCCCTGCCTGATGGGCGAAGTGTTCGTCTATCAGGACGGCGACCGGACCCAGAGCATGCTCGAGCGGATGAAGGAGCGGCTGCGGGGGCAGGTGGACGCGCTCAAGGGACAGTGCAAGGAGGTGCAAGAGGCCATGAGTGCCCTCAAGACCCAGCTCTACGCCAAATTTGGTGACAACATCAACCTGGAACCGGACGAGGAATAGGCGGCGGCCCGGTGCAAACGAGCGAACGGAACTCTTTTCGATGCGTCCATCTGTTCTTGTGGTGACTGTGGGACTCATGGAGAAGACTGAATTTTTTCACTGCTTTGGCAGCTTTGACTGCCTGCCTGAGTCTTTCCCTTTATTAATAAAAAATTTTGTCACAGGTAGAATAATGATATTATTGCAGGGAAGGAACTGATTGTCATGAGATATCATTTAGCCTTTGTTTTTCTTGCCAATGCTAAACAGACTGGATTTGGTGGAGAATTTGACATATCTTATGTTTCATCCAACTTTTAAAATTACATGGAATATTTGAATACAATTGGAGTAAGTGTTTCTGCTCTGTCTTCAAAAAAATTTATCTTGAAGAATTGTGGAAATGTGATAAGCTTAGGCTCCCCCATGACTCTGTTGTTATGTGGTATGTGCAGGTGTCAAAATGGATGTGTTTCCTGAGACCCATTGCTGACCTGAATTTCACTTGTTTTATCTCAGTGCATATGATGAAACACTGCAATTCTTGAAGTAGTGCCTGCTGTCCTTTGAAGGACAGGTCCCAATCTTGACGTTACAGGCCACTTCTAATTATGTAGATATCTAGTATAGTTTGAAGTTAAACTCAAATGGGAAACTGTGCAAAAACTGCCCTATGCAACTATTGTGCTTTCTTGATTAACTTGTGCACTTGAATTTCAGGAAGACGTTGAGGCTTCCTTCAGCAGGGAACATAGAGCCCATGGGCGCTAGGTCATGGACGACCCTCCAGGCACTGACGGTGCTGCTCCTCCTGGGTCACAGCCGGGTCTGGTGCAAGAAGCACAAGTGGGTGTCGGCCAGCGTGGACGCCAGGTGGCAGAGCACCCCCTGGCTCCTCGAGGCCTCCGAGTTCCTACACGATGAGAGGCCCGACCTCTTCTGGCGGTTTGCGGATGCCTTGGCCGACCTCGACCCAGAGTCCCTGCAACTCAGTGAGCGTTCGACAGTGACTTGGCACTTTTTAAATTTAGTAAATCTGAAAATGAGACTGTTAATTCAGGTTTTTGTTTCTCTCAAATGTTCTGTAAGCAGTTTTGGTAGGACTTGAAGGAATGTACTGGAAAAGAGAGGATTTTATTCAAACTCTTGATTTGTATGAAGGGATTGATACTGATGCCAGTAAATTTTTGCTAATATTTATTTTCTCTTGAGTTTTCTGGATTTTGTTTTTGGATTACTCTGGGGAAGATGATATCTCTGGACACTGATTAAAACAAGAATGCAATTGTGAATCGAGCTACTGCATCTCGTCGCACAGAAACGGACAAGGAGTACTTCGAGACGGTGGTGGGACTGGCGAGGCGGTTCCTCAACAGCGAGACCAAGGCGCAGCTCCTGAAGCATGCCCTCTCGCTGCGGTACCACTCGCCCCGGGTGGAGATGTTCCACCAGATCGGCCTGCAACTGTGGCCCGACGCCAAGGAGACTCAGGACCCGTGCCCCGCATTTGTCGATGTCCACGGCCGTCGCACGTGTCGGCCGGTTGACGTGAAGCCCTTGCTTGAAAATGCTGGCATGAGGAATGCCAGTGTCCTCTATCAGGTGATGGGAGTTTCTGTGGTATATTAAAGCATAGTGTTTCAGAAGTTGAGCAATGATCAGAAATATTATAAGTCCAGTTAAGATAACTAAAATGATGTGGCATTAGTGCTTTTGATCTCGTTGCTGGAAACTCCATGGTATTCCATCATGCAGATTTGTAGCGATGGTTTATTTGATGGCGGGGTGGTTCCTTTCACTTTGAAGCAAGTTGCTGTGTTGAATATTTTGGCTGTTTCAAACTTGCCTCTCATGTTTATTATTTAGTTTAGAGAAGTTGAATTTTTGGAGGATGGCTTGATGAGGGCATGAAGATTATTCTTAAATTTGCCCCTGTTCCATCACGAGAGAGATAGTTGGTACAAGTTCATTCACTGAAGTCCTAATTGTATGCAAAACTTTGCTTTGAAACTCACAATATTTTTGTTGGACAATCTTTTGGATACAATTTTTTCCATGTAAAAGCACGCTAAGACCATGTATATTTCATGGAGAAATTTTAAAGTGTACGCCAGATGGCACCAGGTGCAGCTTTACCATGGGCAGAGGATGCTCTTCGATCAAAAATATCCCTATGGGATTGTCTTCCGGTTCCTTACTTTCACTCTGGAGTCGTGTAATCTCTAATTGCTCCGATTCGAAAGCAGTGCAGGCCCTGGCAGCTCAAACATGGTCCATCTTAGTGGTCTGCAGGTGCAGCTATACCCTAAGAGCATGCTATCATGTTGGCTAGGAACAGATTTGGATGGGCCATGAAGATGGCCTCTGTTTCACTGTCTGAAAGTCAAGGTTTAACCGAAACCTGGGAAAGGCCAAAGTTGAGAATGTGGTTTTTCTACTAGGTCATATCTGCCACTGAGTCATGGTGGCATTTTAAATTTATGAATCTTTGGCACCAAGGATTTCATAACAACTTATTGATATTGAATGATATCTATATCCAGTTTTCATAACTGAATATTGCTTGGATCATCCTACTGTAGAGTGCCTAGAATTTTATGTTCTCCTTGGTTGCAGACGGACCATCATTACCCAGGCGGGGAGGGAAGGCCCACGAAGGTGATCTTGTATGCCGAGATGGGCTCTCAGGCCTTCAGGGACTTCCACCCCGTCCTCAAGGACCTGGCCTCTAGTGGTCAGGTGGACTATGTCCTCAGGCATTTCCTGCCGGTAAGTCTGGGGGAAAAGATTTCTGTGTTTTGGTTTATTTATGCCCTGCAATATGTTTCATGTATCATTCTTTGATTTAATTTACATGAGTGTGATGCTGAAGTCAGATATATCTAACCTGTAATTGAGTTCATTGAGTCTTTGTTTGTAATTGTCATTCATGATGCTGAAGCAATCATTTCACTACATAACAGAAACAATTATCATGGAAAAATGGTTATATCAAAATCCATAGATTTATCTTGTTCCCATATCGTTCATAGATATTCATGGTTCAAAAGAATCCAATTATGATGAAATCAGATATTCTGAAGTTTCAGATATGACCAAGGAATAGTTATGTCCCCAGACAGGATTCGAGGAACCTGTCCCCCATTAATAGGTAAAAAGAAAATATTCATTCAGAAATGCATGACAATTGGTTCTTGTCTCCACTGAGCCCTTTGCCTAGATGCCTCAGCCATAAAACTAACTAGAAGGATTTGGCATATGTAGAAATTGGGTTTATGCGAGTGTGGCGGGGGAGTGAGAACCTGGGCAAATGCAAGTGAATGAGTCACTGCTCTTTGTCATCAGGGGTTATCAGGCATCTTTGCCCTTTTTGTCCTGTGTGGATTTCTTCTGTCAGGATTTTGGGAGTTGCATTATGTACACAGTATTTCACACACCTAACAAGTTAGCTGCCTATGCATTTTTCCAGTGCTCTGTGAGATGACATGTATTGCTCATGGTATATGTGGTGGCTTACATGATAATTTACTGCTGTCCTTGAAACCCTGAAAAATAAATTGAAATGCTCTTCCATAGTGGAGATTGCAGTTCACATTTCTGGCTTGTATCTGTCATTGCTTGGGTTGTGGGCAGGAGCGAGACCCGGGGAAGACCCGTTTGACGGGCTACGGGGTCGAGCTGCAGCTGAAGAGCACCGAGTATAAGGCGACGGACGACAGCCAGGTTGCCGATGACTCCAATGCGGACGGCGACCAGGAGGACCTTGGCGATGACGAAGTGGATGGCTACATCTTCTCCAAGCTGAAGTGAGTGAAGCGAGGAACTGTGACATTCTGTTTCATTGACTTGGTAGAAGGGGACTTGAAGGCCATTATCCCACCTTCCACCCATTTTGTACATATTAATTGTTTGTTTTCTTACTTATGATAAGTAACAGTAATATATATTGAGAACTGGGATTATTGTGATGACTATTATTGCTGGAACCAAGACATGGAAGAGCCAGTTTTCCATGTGCTAGTTATTTTATTTGTTTTTTAGGTGTATTAGTATCACCAGTACTACCAGGAACCTACCTGTGCCATTGCAGTAACTTTTTTTATTTTAGTCATTGTTATAATTATGCAGAGGAATAATAATTTAATGCAGCAATATAGTTTGTAGCATCTCCAGAGAAGCAATAAGTATGAAGTAGTAAATAAATTTAGCAGAGAAGGGGTCACCTTCATGCCCCTGCATAAACAAGGAACTAAAGTGTCTTCTTTTTATGAGTACTTGTACTCTGACATAAGTACTTACAGTGCAGCTTCAAAGAGATGAGTATTTGAGATGTCCAATATACGAGATTTGACAATAAATTAACGATACCAACAACACTGTAATTCGTGCGGTAACACTAGGTTACTGGCGATTGCTGTAACCTGTCAGTGCATGTCTTAAGTCTGTGCAATAACAAGCTTGTCATGATACTTCTAGCGATTGCAGAGCAGTACCACTTTACCTAAAGTAGTGTTAGGGGCACTCATAAAAATAATGGGTGATAATATTATGAACAAAGAATCAACGTGAAATTTCAAATCAAACTTGGGAAAAAATCAACTGAAGTCTTTGAAGTATAGAACTTTCCATTAAAATCAATTGTACTGTCCCTGTTGATATGCAGTTCTTCGACATTCATTCTGACAATAAGACGACGATCATTTCACACCAGAATTCTAATGTTTTCGATGTTTTCATCAGATTTTGAAGTTGTCGGACGTCCAGGTCGTGTGTCAAACTCTACTTCTTCCCTTCCTTCCTTCCCCTTGATTAGAAAGTTCATGTTGATATTACAGACCATACATTACAGTGTTGACAGTCTCGTTATTTTATTGTCAGACCGTGTATATATTAAAAAGTTTGGCGAATATCTAGTTGTTACCTGTACCACTAGGATGATATTAAAAAAAAATTGCAATTTAACATTTTAAGCAGGGGTGTGCAAAGTGTGACCTGCAGGTCACATAAGCACACAAAGTGCCTCATTGAGCATCAACTTTGTGTACCCATGATTTAGAGGCTTCTTCCAGTTCATAGAAAAAGTTGTGACCATGAAGGTCAGATAGTGCATAAAAGTGTGAATGTGGGCATTCCTGGGTAAGGGACTGATCGGGGCATGACCCATGTGATTCAGGGCTCTCCACCCAGGTGAGGTCGAAGCACTGGAGAAATGGCGGGAGCACCTGCTGCAGTCAGCCCTGGAGATCCCGCCGCTGAAGGTGTGGGAGCTGCAGGACCTGAGTCTCCAGGCCGTCACCCGCATCATGGCCGCCACGAGCCCCAAGGAAGGCCTGGCCGCTCTCGTTGATCTATCGCAGAATCTCCCTGTTCAGGTGTGCACTTTTCCTTTAGGAATACTGGCTCCTCACATGGAGCGATGTGAATGTGCTTGCAATTGGCCGAGTTTGTGCTTGGAAAGGCTGGAGGGATCAAGAGTAATCAGGATGATGCTATGATTTTCCTCTGGTCGGGATGCCTTGAATCCTGCTTGAGTTTCCCTGTCCATGTGGTGCCCATCATATTAACTTTGTTTTCTGAACCCCTCAGGACTTTTCATGGGCTTTTCACTTTTTTATTTTTTTACTTTTTCAGTATGATATAGTGATGGGTTCTTTAATGGTTTGGGAGTTTTCTGTCACACTATGGGATTCAAAAATGCCAAGTAGGCAGGTGATGGTTACAATTTGTTCCTACATTTAATAGATCAATGCAAGTAAAGAAAAAGAGGAAAATAACTTATTAGGCAAGAAAACAAAAGAATGCAGATACATATGCTAAGTATAAGCACGGATTGCTCACTTGCTTCGACAAGAGGCTCCATCTTTATGTGTATCTCATCAGAAACGCTCCATAAATCTAAGGTGGTTCTACCATTGTTGGTAAGGTGGGCTTATTTTGGGGACTCATTAGTCCGTTTTGTTACCTTTGGGGAGGGGCAGGGTGGTTGAGAAGTTCTCCCACTGGTTAATTTTTTTAAAAGTCCTAACGAGATATACGGATTAATGGTTCTGGCCCTGCATAATATATGCAAGGACAGGGTCTCATGGGAACTCTTTTGTTTAGGGAATGAATTCTCTTATCTAAGATTTCCTAGAAGCTCTCTTGCCTCATTTCACAGTGCTGCCTTGGGCATTATGGATGTAGGAAAATGGAGATTATTGGTGTAAGGAAGGGAAAGCTAAAAAAAAATGTGCTAAGATGGTGAAACTAGCTGAACATCATTTGAGGCACCATCTAGTGCCTAATATCTGTTTATGATGTGCTGGGTGCCAGCTTATACCTTGGACTTGCTGAGCCTGTTGTATGTGGGCTTATCTCATGGAGGAGCTGCCACAAAGTTGCATCAGTCTTAGAGATGACAGGTCCTTACAGATATGTACTGGCATAATTTTTCTGTTCTATTCCTTCACGGGTGGTGTCTTTGCAGAAAGAATGGAGCTAGGTTCCCCATATAGGAACTTATTTTTTCATACTTTTTCCATATTGGATATCAATATTGTATGGGGAACCTGGAAAGATGAGCAACAGTTAATGGGGTGTTTGAATCTTTGAGTATCATTTTATTCCCAATCAAAATCTCGGCCTCGATGCTCACTGCTCGGTGTCTTTCCTCACCGGCAGACCAGCCACCTGGTGAAGACGAAAGTGGACCCAGAGCTGAAGGCCGAGATCAAGAGGAACCAGAAGACGCTGGAGGAGTCGCTGAGCCTAGGCGCGGGGGAGGCGAGCCTGCGCCTCAATGGGATCCTCCTCGATGTGGATGCCCTCGAGGTCTTCGCGCTCCTCGACATCCTCCGCAGCGAAGAGAAGCGGATGCATGCCCTCTTCCAGCTTGGTGGGTACTGTTGATTTTCTCAATAGGATAATGCATGTATTTTAGCATTCATTGTTGATGAAGGAACATTCAAAGAATTGCTCAGAAAATGAGGCAATTTAAGTAAATGAAAATGTTCAGTTTTGTGGAAGGAAGTGATACAGGTCCAGTTGATGTTGATTGTTCGAAATGGGTGTCATGTAAATCTTCTATTTCATTGGGACAGGAAGTGAAAAGATTGGTCGTTGTATGAACATTTTAATTGTGCCATTGAAACTCAGTGAGAGGCTAAGAGGGGAACAGCCATGTCAGACAGACGTGACTTATCTTTGAGCCGTCTCAGTAGATTGACTCTAAGTATACATTAAGAGGTTTTTTCCCATTGGCTTGGCATTTCCAGCGTGGGTGTTGTTGCCTAAGATGCAAATGTTCAAATTTGATGTAGCTATGTTCCTGATGGAGTTGGTATGTTTGTTCTCAATTTTCTTCTGCATGATTGAAACTGAGCATGAAAGGAGCATGGTATTGAGTTTCATGCTATGACTTCAAATTACTATATCCTCAAGAAATTATGGAAATCAGGGCACCAATCATTTGTTTTATAGTTGATGCACATTGTGCTAATTGGTCTTTTACGATAGGTGGGAAAATTTTTTTTTTCCTTCAATAGCAGGGGGGAACACTCTCACAAATATGAGTTTAAGTTGCATTTCATGTCTCCTATTGCAGGCATGAAAGAACCGAGTCAGCTGCAGGAAATGCTGCAGGGGAACTTCCAGGAGAAGTCGGGCCTGAGCCAGCTGACGTCCTATGCAATTGACATCCGGGACTCAGCAGTGTCCTTCATCAACGACATCGAGACCGACAAGCAGTTCCGGCACCTGCCACGGAGCCTGGACGAGCTCCTGCGACCGTCGCTCATGGGCATGGCACGCACTGTGCGACGCAACGTGTATCATCTGGTACGTCTGGATCCATTTATGTTCAGGAAGCTCTCAAAAAAGATGACATTTCATTTATTCAGTGACCCTCCCCCTATGATTTCAGAATTTTTTATGATTCTGCAGGGGGATGAAGTCTGATTGGCTTGGAATCAGGAGTTTCTCTGCATTTTCCCTGAGACCTCTTTTTAGATATTTAAATTAGTAAATTCTTAAATAAACTCTTTTTTATAAATGTGTTTACTAATTTTTTAAAGATTTTAAATTTAAGTTCCCTCCTCCATTTTGTTTTCACAGCCCTTTAGCTATTTAGGTTCATATCTGTTCAATATCTTCCTGAATCATCAGTAGCATTTGATGTATGCCTTTTGACTGACTCTCGCCAGGTCCTCGTGATCGACCCGGGGAGTCGAGATTCCCTGTTCCCCCTGGAGATGATGGATTTCCTCACGAGCACGGGACTCCCCATCCGCATCGGCCTGGTCCTCTCCCCGGCCGTCGATCCCGCGGCGGACCCGTCGGGCATGGAGCA